AAGAACGCCCTTATGGGCATAATATAAAATCTGAAAGCGTTCAGATTTTCTTTTCCTTTCTTTTTTTGTAACTTTTTTGTGAAGATTTATTTTGAATACGCAGCGTTTATGCTTTATTTATATTTAGAGTTTCGTTTTCTCCCAATTCTGACCAAAATATTTTAGTTACAATCTATTTCGTTATCCGCCAGTTGTCAGCAGTTTTTCGCTTATCAGCGTTGGCAATTATTTTCAGCGCTCTTACACGGACTCGGTTATCTTATCCGTTGAAGGACGTTAAATCAAATTCAGATTAATATTTATTATTTGCCCACTTACGCGAGGAAAAAATGTGAATTATATTTTGTATTCTTTTTCCTTATTTAAAGTTCTTCATGAAATATTACCGGGAAAAGATTTTTTATTCAGCATTTGAATTTGGAACGCAAATAAACGGATGCTGAAGTTGTTGGAAAGAAGAAAAACTTCTCAAACGGGTAATTTACAATTAAAACTGCCCATAATTAATACTAACTGTTAACTACTGAAAATATAACCGAAAAGAAGAATATATGATATATTATTCAGCATTTAAAAAAAAAATATCTAATACCATGATATTAAAAACTGTGAAATTTCTGAAGAAAGCCCAATAAAGCATACTCTTTATTTATAAGCAGAAAATCGACACTACTAAAATCTATGCGCTTCTGTCTGTTTGATTGTTTGTTTGTGGCATTATCTCCTCCGGAACGGCGCGCAGTTGAAAAGGTACCCCCCGGATTCCAAAAATTCGTGAGAAGCCATTTCGACCATTCTCATCTTCGTACAACTTTAATTAATGGATTATTAATTAAAAAATCTGAAAACGCTAATTTTCGATCTCATTTTTCGGAGCGGCAACGGTCTCGCATGCTGGAGATAAAAATTTACTTTATTTCGAGAAGTGTTGCCACTGCTTGCTTTCAAATCGTAGAGACTGTTAATAAAAAATTGCTAAATTTTACAAAATATGAAATAAAAATAGCATTCCCAAACATTAAATATATTATTCCCAATTCCAAAAATTCGTGGGAAGCCATTTCGACTGTTCCCATCGTCGTTCGTTTTTAATTAGCCGAGATATTAATTAAAAACTCTAAAAGCACTAATTTTCGCACTCATTTTTCCGAGTGGCAACAGTCTCGCTTGCTGGAGATAAAAATGCTTTATTTCGAGAAGTGTTGCCACTGCTGGCTTTCAAATCGTAGAGATTGTTAATAAAAATTTGCTAAATTTTACAAAACATGAAATAAAAATAGCATTCTCAAACATTAATATATTATTCCCAATTCCAAAAATTCGTGGGACGCCATTTCGACTGTTCCCAGCTTCGTTAGTTTTTAATTAGCTGAGATATTAATTAAAAACTTAATTAGCTGAGGTATTAATTAAAACACTAATTAGCTGAGATATTAATTAAAGCACTAAAGTGTTTTTAATTAGCTGAGATATTAATTAAAGCACTCATTTTCGCACTCATTTTTCCGAGTGGCAACAGTCTCGCTTGCTGGAGATACGTAAAAAATACTTTATTTCGAGAAATGTTGCTATTGCTCGCTTTCAAATCGTAGAATTTGCTAATCATATATTTGTAAGTTTTACAAAATATGAAATAAAAGTGAAATGAGCTGACATGAGTTTGACCGCAGGAAATACGTTTACATTCTTGACCAACCTTAAGAATACAGGTTGAACTTCTGTGAGGAGCTCCACATTTACAGCACCTTTCATCGTTGAAAACATATATGTTGGGTATGCTCAAACCTCTTGGCATATTGAGAAAATGTTATTACATTAAATTAAATTTAAATCATGACGTCATACGTATTAATATGAAGTGTCAAAAATTTTTGTTTCCTGGTGCGGCAATAAAAAAATATTTGCGAATTGGTTGTTACTTAGAAAGTATGAACTAATTTCTTTCATACTGAAATGTTTACATATGTTTGCTTTTCAGGGGTTCATAGAACTTACAAATGTTGCTTTGACTGCAGCCCACTTCTAAATCTTTAATAGTTGAAATGATTTTCATTCGCAATTTCAGCCAAGAAATTTATTATCACGTCAGGTTTCTGCTGACCAATCAGAACGGATCATATTTGACTTCGTTCATCGTTTACGAATCCCGATAGCTTACCCCATTTCCTAATTTGCAGATTTGCTGCATTTCCTTAAGTTACGAAATAAATTTAAGGTATTTTAATATTCCTGCAATACCTTTCGGGAATTTTTTTATTTCTTGGAGAAATATTCCAATAAAAATGTATCGGAATTCCAAGACAACGAAATTGCAAGATCAATGGTTGTAAACAGTAGTTAAGATGTTATATCATTAACTTCGTAGTTTTGAAGTAACTCCGAATTTTGAAACTTGAGCGAGCACACGATTCTCTTCATGAGTTTCCCTCATATGCGGTTTCAAAAGCGAAAGTGTTTTTTTTAGGAAAACCAGTTTGTTAGGATTTTTTTCTTTCCTTAAAACAACTCCGGAGGTCATTTACAGTCACCCCCGGGGTTGACTATCATTTCGGTTTGGAATCTAGGATCTGTACTTAGGCAGGCTTGGCTCCGGGGGTATAAAAACATACAACCGTATTCCTACTTACCGTATATTCCGGTGTATAACTCGAAATTTTAACGCCAAAAATGTGACAGAAATTTACGGGTAAAAATGATAGATTAAAAATACGGAAAAAATCAGCATACAATAGTTACATTTTTTACGTGCTCTTATACTGTTTATTTAAAAGAAATTACATACCTTTAAAAATTTTTTCATTATCTCGCAACGGGAAAAGTTCGTCATGTTCGTCTTCCGTTATATCTTCAGACACATCATCAATTTTTGTTTCATCTTCACCATCACTGTTACTCTGATCCATAAATAATCATCATCTGTTCCATCTTTCACCAACAGCAAACATCCTTGCTGCAGCACGATTTCCATTTTCTTTTGCAAACTGAAAGATTTTGCATTTGACACTACCACTCTGTTGTTTCATTTGGCAGCAGCCATATTTACTACTAAAAGGAAGGCTAAGTCAATTGTACTTTAACTAAAACCATGCTCACTTTAAAATCACGGCTTCAAATGACCACAGAAAGATAAAACATCTGAATTATGATTCCGCGAATTCTTTCGGGTTGGAAGTGCATTCTTACTCCAAATTATACCCCTTTTTTCTCGAAATTCTACAATAGCATTATTTTGGACATCTGCACTGAATACAATGCACCCTATTTGCAGGCATATTTACAGCCTTAAGCATTTAACCCGCGCACGTATTCTTCCACTTACCGCTTGTCAATTTGGTATGCCATTGTTTGAAAGGCTAGGATAAATCTTCGAATAAGTGACTCCAAAAGATCAGAGCACTGCACACGTATCTTTTAGGTTTCTTCGTAAGGAAGTGGAAGCGCGTTATACGGCGAATATACATAAAAATTAAAAAATATAGCTCGAAATTATACAGAGTGTACCGTAAATGTTGCGACAAACTTCTAGAGGAGGTATGGCACATCATAAGGATTAAGAATTGCATAGAAACCCATGCCTGAAAATGTCAGGGGAATGCGCTGTTCCACCAAATGTGAGGCGCAACATGTGATTCCAACATAATGGGGCGCTGCTCATTTCGGATTGGATTTTCGCAGCCATTTGAACTGATCATTCTCTAATCGATGGTTTGGGCGTAGTGGAGCGATTTTCTGGCTCTCACGCTCACCCGATTTATCGAACCTTGATTTCTTTTCGTGGAGAGCCATCAAAAGTGTCGTATATCACGATTCTGTTGTGTCTGAAATGGATCTCGTGGCAAGACTCGCCTGCGCAGCTGCTACAATTAAAGAAACTTCCAGTGTGTTTGAACATGTCTGGCAATAAATGGTCCATCGTTGCCAGGCGTGTTTGGCGTCTGATGGTGCAAACTTCGAGCATCTATTGTAACATTCAAGCTGTCGTACACCATTTGTATCCATGTCCAATAAATGTTTAAAATTAATCACTCTTTTGTTTCCTTTCCCATCTTCTACCTTTGCTAACACTTACCCCTGATATTTCCGGGTATAGATTCCTATGCAATTCTTAATCCTTATGATGGCCCTACCTTCCCTAGAAGTTTGACGCAACATTTACGGTACACCCTATAGATGTGCGTTATACACCGGTGCACGTTATACCCCGGAAAATACCGTACATCTATCTGAGAGGTTAGTGTGACGGAGCAGTCATCAATGATGACGATTCAAATACTTCTAAATCATGCGTAGTTTGTTGGAAAAAACCACCTCCACATAAGGGTTGTTGGAAAAAACCACCTCCACATAAGGCTTGTTGGTTGGTAAAAGCTTCGGACCGGTGTGCTGATAAAGTCGCAAAGTGCGACTCTTTCGGTCTAACCCTGCCTCCAACCCAATAAGAAGAATACGAACTAACGAGCGAGACCCCCGTAGTCGCATTAAAGTGCATAAGTGGGTACAAATCTTCTTTGAGCTGTGTGCAGGCGACGTAGGGAATAAGTGGTTTAAGCCAAGTAGCGTTACCAGGCAACCAGTCTGTTCTACGTCACAAAATCTGGTTTAAGGCTCTTGGCATAAAGTTCGAAATTTTCAACTTTAGGTCGACTTGGGATAAACATCTACCAATCAGAGCGAACGCGAGAAACATGAATGGGAAAACAGAGCGGGAAAGCTGTAGAGACATCCTTCGCACGCGCAAATTTAGCTTCACTAAGTGGGTGCGGCTTAGGCCCTGTGTCGCAGGTGTGAACGGAATTCCCGCATTTTATTTGTTGGGACTATGCCTCTGTGACATTAACGTCGCCGTCTGAACGTAGTCTTATTTTCCTTACCACGTCCTTTCGTAGTGTAATTAGAAGCAAGTTTAATTATTCATAATCATGAGTGAAGGAATATGAATGAAGTTTGAATGCTTTTGCTATATTTATTTCTTGTTTCTAAGACAGACTTTTATATTTCAGGTCTGAGTGCTGCTAAAGGGTTGAAAGAATCCGGAATTAGTGTCGTTGTTCTAGAAGCCCGGGACCGTGTTGGTGGACGCACGCACACTAAAAAGGTTATACCTACTCGTAATTTCAGAATTTTATTTCCTGAATATTCTTTGATAATCTTTCTATTAGGTAATAAAGGAATCAATATTCATCAGGTATTATTTTAATGATGACGCTTTCATAGGTTCCTAGTAAGGGAGAAAAAAGTACAGTTTTTCCCCGTTTTTCTTTCTACGTCACGTATCTCGAAGTGTGCTTCAACATTTTAAGCTTACACTTAAGTTCGATGCATATCGGCAATGTGTATAATATATCTCATATATTTCATTAATTTAGTGAGTAGATATGATTGAGATTTGTAAAACTCAGCAAGCAGACTTATTGAAATTGATGATGGTAATGAAATCGTATGTAAATTGGGGCTTCTGTTTTTAAATATGTAGAAACTCAGGATTTTAAGGTATCCGACTATGTTTCGCACTCAAAATTTGGAAAATAATACAAATGAATCTATTGTTGTTGTTAGTTTGCAGAATACTACTTGAAATGATACAAAATGGTAATAATTAGTATAATTTTATAATTTCTTTCTTACACTTTGGCTTAAAACTTGCAAAAATGTCATAATTACTAGCTACGTTCTCAAAAAGTATTTTACTTTTATATTTGCCTTAATTATTAATGGACTGAAATCTAAGTTATAAAGTAAAATGCCTATTAAATGTATTTGTTTGAGTACATGCGTTAGCTATTTTTCGAAAAATTTCTCACTTTTCTTTTAAAAAAACTGTGAAAAATTTTTAGATGTTCAATCCATTTAATGAATAATATCTCGTAGAATATTTGTGCAAAAATTTCATAAAATTACTATTGTAATATTTCAAATTAAAATATTTTCTTTAACAGAAGAGTTGAAAAAAATTAAGTTTAAAAAAAAAATAAATTTAATGTAATGTCATTTCAGAAAAAGTCCGATTTTGCGTCAGAATACCTATGTTAGAACAATGCTACATATAAATGCAATATATTTCCTAAGTTACGCTTTCAAGACATGAAAAACACAAATTTGATGAATCGACCCAGGACGACCGGATATATAGAACTGTCCACCCGCTTTTTTCTTTGGAGAGTGTACATTTAAGTGATTAACCATTAAGCTAGCTTAAACACTAATGTCAGTTTTGTATTAAACAATTATTTATAGAGAACAATAGTATTCCATAAGTTAATCGAATGTATGATTGCAATTTCTCTAGTTTACCGTAGTCTGATTTTTCAATTTTAGGATCCCAAAGTCAATTATGTGGACATCGGAGGTTCTTATGTTGGACCAACACAAAATCGTCTTCTTCGCATGGCCAAAGAACTTGGAATAGAAAATTATAAAGTAAACGAAGTCGAAGATATTTTGCATTACAAAAATGTAAGTAAAATTTCGTCTGATACTATATAACTAACATTAATTCAAGCTTAAATAAAACAGAAATAAAATATTTACAGGATTTCGATTTTCGATGTTCATATTTGAAGTAAATTTGATCAGAGATTCTTATTTTTAGGGAAGACGAACGCGCTTTAGAACTGGGACATTACCTGGAAGAAGAAATCCTTTCGTCGCCATGGATATTAACAACATTATGTGGCTTATGGATAAAATGGGCAAAGAGGTAAAAAATGCTTTGTAGAAACTATTTTAATTATTTGATGATAGGAAATTTAAACCACATTTAAATTTTATAAACATGGTGAGTGAGTGAGTGAGTTTTTTTGCGCAAAAACCAATGATGATTATCATGCGCCAAACAAATGGTGGGATGACCTGATTTAGAAATGAAATACTTATTAATAAAAATTATTAAAAAGCTACATGTACCAAATCCAGTGGGTGGAGTCATATAAAAAAACCTGGTAAAAGCACACATTAAAATGCAATACAAAATCTGCTGAACAGATTACACTAGTAATAAAAGCCAGTCTCTTTTAAATAATAAAATAAATTACAATTGACCTCTCTTCCGACTAAACGGTCGAGAGGTAAGTCACAGCTATTAAAATATTTCTGACGAAGACTGTTAAAACAGGGACACTCAATTAAAATATGACGAACAGATAGACAAACATTACAATTTGAACAAAAAAGCTTATTCTCAGCTTTTAAAAGGGATGTGTCACTCTAGTGTGACCAATTCTGAGGCGAGTCAAAAGAACTTCCTCCTTACGATTTCTAGTTAATTCCCAATGCTCAATTCTAGACTTTACATGTCTTAACTTGTTTTGAATCTGAACATCCCAAAGTTGCTGCCATTTTTTTTTTAATCTTCTCTTTCACAACACAACAAATGTCTCCAAAAGGGATGAGGCGACTGGACAGTTCAACACCACATTTCGCTGTGATATCTGCCAGGTCTTTTCCTTTTATTCCCACATGCCCGGGAACCCGGCAGTACAGGATTTCATATCGACGACTCGTTAAGTTTATATGTAACTTCAGAATATCCACTATGACTGGATTTTGAGTATAAGAAAAAGCTTCTAATGATTTAAGAGTTATCTGTAAATGATCTCGTTAGTGCTTGCCTTCGCATGATGCTTGAAAACATCAAGCAGCTGAATCCGTTCATTTTCCCAAGGTGGGATTTCAAAATTCTGTACTGCTTGGGGGCGCATATCAGAGAGGGAAAGTTCCTCGATGACAGGGCGAACTCTTAAAACAAAGGTAGGAACACAGGATGGACGTGTTTCATATAATGTGTTACAGTATTATAAACATGGTATTTCGATGATACGAGGTGTGACACAAAGAAAAACGTGACTGTGTAGCTTGAAAAAAGAGTGGTGTTGGCAACGGCTGTTTTGGTGACATCATCTCACACACCTAGTATATTGAAGTACTAAAAAGACTTCGTGAACAAATTAGAAAAAAAAAAAAAAAGCCACAGTTGTGGAGTGATGGATGGCTGTTGCACCAGGATAATGCACCCGTTCACACAGCCTCATCTGTCAATCAGTTTCTAACCAGCAAAAACATTACTGTGATGGGGCAACCTCCTTATTCACCTGATTTGGCTCCATGTAACTTTTTTATTTCCTATAGTTAAATCTTGCTTAAAGGGAATCCATTTTACCTCAATCTCCTCAAGGGCCTTCCAAAAACCTCGTTGCAGAACTGTTACCAGCAACGGCCGCACCGAATGTAAAAGTATGTGAGTTTTGAAGGTGATAATGTTGCCAACTGATTCTGTAAATACAATGATTTATTGAACCAGTCTCTTTTTTTTGTGTGTTTGGGTCACACCTCCTATTTTCATGGGCAGTGAGCTCTAATTGTCGGAAATTTATGCGGGAATAACGAGTTAATCTCCAAAAATTCTGTTTCATAAATTTGCAAATTTATCAAACAATGTTCCAGAACTATCAACTTGTTTCACCAAATCAACTGAGAAGGTAGAATTCCCTGATTTTTAAATACTTGAAATTATTTTAGCTAATACGAAACTTTTACTTAACATCAAAACGTTATGTTAAATATAAAAACTGATTGTAAGAGCTTCATTTTTTTTTCTCCAGTTATTTTCCTCATAGTAGACTCGTGTGCAAAATTAACAGAATTTCCAAATTATATCTATTTTAACGATACGTATTGAACGTTTAACGTGAGGTACCTATTATACTGCCGAAGAATTATACAAATACTCAGAGTCGAATACGTAAGCGTACAAGTGCGTGTCTGTTGAGTTGTGATTGTGATGGAGATATAAGTGCACGAGGGGGCTTTCAGCGATTTATGCGCTCGTAGTCCTTCACGACAGTCGCCGTATTTCTCCCAAGAGTTACGCAAATTTTTTAAGGTTGAAAGGTATATTTTAATTTTACAACAGTTCTTTTAATTTTGAAACCCTTTCCTTTTAATTCTTGTTTCCACTTACATTTCCCTACCAGAATGAGATTTTAGAATGGCGTTGAATGCAAATGAGTTGGAAGAAGTATTTAAGGAAGGTTAAACTAACTTCTGTAAAGAGTGCTACGAGTCTTTAGTGGCACGTGTTTGCCTTCTGGCTAAATCACTCTTGAAGCTGTTACGCTCGGCAGTACTGTACGTAACTATTGATATTGGACGGCTAGTTTAATTTAAGGGCCAATCACACTAGATAATTGTGTCTTGCTTCGGCTATGTCTCGTTTAATTAATTTTAGTTTAGTTTCTTATTTTGGGTTAAAGTCTGATTAGAGGCTTTCCTGTAAGCCCGAGAAGGGGTCGACTGTTATCCTTATTTGAGTAGATAAAAGGGTATTTTAGCCCTTTTATCATGGGGTTGAAAACACAATAAGTTGCTACATAAAGGTTTGCTACCCTTTATGTAGCAACATATAACAAAGAGTATTTTAACCCTTGATATCAGCAATAAGTTGCAATAAGTTGCTACATAGGTTCCCTAGGCTCTTCGACGTTCTATCACCGAAAAAGGGCGAAGAACACTACAAGGATAAGGTAAAATGAGTAACCACGAACGTATGGATGACAAAATGAAGTGGGGAATTGCCAGTAGCCTGGAGGTAAACCAGTCACAAGCACAGGTGGCTACAGAGCTCAGTATAACGCGCACTGTCATCTGCAATTTGTGGAAGCAGTTTCAGAACACTGGGTCGATAACGAGAAGACCTGCAGAAGGTCGAACAAGATCAACAACGACGAATGAGGATCGTTATTTGGCACTATCAACTCGGCGACACAGGATTGTTAAAACATTACAGCAGTATGCTGCCAATGGAACCCGAGTTTCACGGTCTATAGTTGACGGAAGCTTAGTGAGGTAAGGCTGTATGCCACAAGACCTGTTGTTTGTGTCCCGCTCACTGCGACACAAAATTTTACGTGGACACCACATGACTTCCCTGTGCGGCTATTTTTTGCACATTTTTGACATCAAATTATGCACATTTTTGACGCATTTCATTTAAAATATTTCCCCAAATTTCATTAGAGATGTATTTCTCATTCAGTGAATTCAGTTCTCACTTCGGGACAAGAAAAAAGCACATAAAAACTCAAAACCTCTTCATTAAAAGTTGTAAAATGCAGAAGAACTTAAAATACCGAAAAACCGCTTAAAAAGCAATTTTTACAATTAAATTAGAGTTTAAATTAATTAAAATTAGACAGAAAGATAGTTATTTCGGCGCACAAAACTTTTGGCCCCACTCGGCAAAAAGACACCGAAGTCGGTGCAAAAACTGACTTAATTCACTATGCTACTAAGTTTCAAATGTAAAGAAATGGCGGCGTCGTTAGGCTTAGAAGAACTTAAACAACTTTTAAACTGTTGATAATTCTACAGCTATTGCATGCAGATTAACTAAAAGCATAAAAACCTTAACCGGAACATGAGTTATTAACGGATATTATAGAACTACTTTTAAAGCAAAAAAGGCACAATTTACCAAAGTATAAGAATAAAAAAAACTTATGTCACCTAGCCGGGTAGCAGAAGCGGGTACATATATATATATATATACTTATATTTATGTACTTTTGCTACGGCCGATTTCAACCAAAAAGGTAAGTGCACATCTACATGCTATATGAGTCCCATATGCAAAATTTCAACGTTCTGAGAGTTTTTGAGTTATGCGAGATACATACATATGTACATACGCATGTACGTACAAACATTACGAAAAAAATCTGTTCTGAATCCATTTTAAATCCATTTCACAATCCGTTTTGGGAAAAAGAGTCCTTTATTCTGTCTGTACGTACAGATGTAACGCAAAAGCATCGTTCAAATGGAATTAAGAGCTGTCAAAATGGATATTTTCATTGATATACGATACCCGAAAATTTTCGCGATAGCAATACTTCCTTTATTTCGTACAAGGAAGTAACAAGTAAGCGCATTTAACATGGTACAGCAACATGCGCCTTTGACCAGACTTCAGAGTACTATGTGTGTTTTACAGATAAATCAAGATTCTACCTGGACACTGATTATCAGCATACCTGTAATCTTGAAAGAGTCTGGAACACGATATTATCCCTCCCTCACAGTAGAGGATCATTACTGTGGTGGAGGTGTAATGGCTTGGCCAGGCATTATGTTGGACGGCCGCACATCCCTACATGAGTTTGACAAAGGCTGCCTGACTGCTACGATGTACAGAGAGGAGATCTTAGAGTCTCTTGTTCGTCTTTTCAGGGGCGCATTTGGTCCTGGGTTTATGTGTTAATGGACGACAATGCCCGTCCACATACGACTTACATGGTCGACGATTACTCACAAAGTGAAGATGTTCCTGATATGGATTGGCCAACTAGATCATCTGACCTTACAGCCTGATCAGACAGGCTGATCCTGTACAGCCTGTCTCGAACACTCTCGAGAGGGTAGTTTCATCACGTACTTTCCCTCTGGAGACCATCGTAGATTTAAAAACTGCCTTGCTACAGGAGTGGGATCTACTGCAACAGAAACCCCTCAGCTGCTTCCTGTCCAGCATGCCGTTACGCTGCGGACCTGTCTGGCTGTAAGAAGAGACCATATCCTGTATTAGTCTCATTTTTAGTTCGATATCGCAATGTGGATTTTGGACGTCCCGGCGCTATGAGTTTACAGATAATCATGGTACATAAAATGACATTTGAATGTTATATCACTTTCTTGTTAGAGAAA